CAGACAGGGAATGAAGAGGAGAGAGAGAGAGAGAGACATTTATTTACTTATTCATAAATTCACCCATGCACTATCTCACACATATCCACAGTCAAAAAGGAAACGCCATATATTTGCTGCATAAATATCCGATCTGTTTATATCCTTTGCCTATATGTTTTTTTTTTCAGCTATTTCTCTAATCTAATTCCCAAATTAACAGCGAAAAGAGGAAGTGAAAAATATCTGACAAAAAGCAACATAACTTTGTGCGCCAAGACTTGCAACGTATTACAAGCTATATAACTTAATGCAACATTGATATGCATGAAATATGATTAAAATTTCCGCGTGAGCTTATAAGACCCTGAATATATCACACACACACGAACATACTTTTTTTTTTCGTGAAGTCTCCCCTGTAATTCACGGTTTCGGACACGCTCTGTTTTATGTACTATTTCAGCCCCCCCCACCCCCACCCCCCCGCACACCTCTTTCGCCCCCTCCTATCCCCTCTACCTTGATAAAAAAAATATTAGTGCTCTGTATTTTCTCTCTTTTTGTTTTTTCCTATTATTTGTTTTCTTCTACCTCTTCCTGTTTCACTGTCGCTCTCTCTCTCTCTCTCTCTCTCTCTCTCTCTCTCTCTCTCTCTCTCTCTCTCTCTCTCTCTCTCTCTCTCTCTCTCTCTCTCTCTCTCTCTCTCTCATGGTCTACTATTATTGTCTCTTATTTTCTGTTACTTTTTCTCTCTCCTCACGTTTTCGCATTTCTTTACCTCTTCCTTTCTTCGTACTCTTCTTTTTTTCTTTCTTTCGAGTTTTTTGTTTCTTCATCCTCTTCTCTTATCAACATCACCTCTCTCTCTCTCTCTCTCTCTCTCTCTCTCTCTCTCTCTCTCTCTCTCTCTCTCTCTCTCTCTCTCTCTCTCTCTCTCTCTCTCTCTCTCACACACACACACACACACACACACACACACACATAAGCACAAACGTCATCACACAACCCCCCCCCCCTACGCCATTCCTCCCCCCACCTCCCCCACCCGCACATACACGCCCATAAACACAGATCCATACACATACACACAGCCGCGTGCACACATAATCACACATACACCCCTCTTACCCCCCCCCCCCACGCCCCCAACGCCAATCCACTCTCCGCCCACCGCTATGACCCCGCCCCCGCCCCCGCCCCCTCCCCTCTCCCCCTCGACCCCACCCTCTCTCTCCAAATGGGAAGAGAAGCTCATTCCATGTAATTAAGCTCGTCATAGTCAGTTTACGTTATTAACTCTCTCTCTCTCTCTCTCTCTCTCTCTCTCTCTCTCTCTCTCTCTCTCTCTCTCTCTCTCTCTCTCTCTCTCTCTCTCTCTCTCTCTCTCTCTCTCTCTCTCTGTCTATCTATCTATCTATCTCTATCTCTATCTCACACACACATATATGTGTGTGTGTGTTTGTGTGTCACACTCCATACTAACTAGACTTTGGAAGAACGTTTCATTTTCAGTGTTAATATTATCATCATCAACATTGCAATTATGATTACTGTTATTATGATATTCAACAACAAGGGCAGAATTACATTAGTCTTTATTGATATCTGGAATTTATTATAATTATTTACATTATCTATTTTTCCTATTTTTTTGATAATTACTTATCAATTTTTTTATAATTTTTACCTATTACTTTTCCATTCTTAATCAATCTTGTGTTTTCCTTTCTGTTTAGTAATTTTATAATTTAATCCTTATATACATCTTTATGATTTAGTATTTACATTTATATTTACTATATGAAATCTCTTTATATTGATTTGATAAAGTACGTATATATATATATATATATATATATATATATATATATATATATATATATATATATATATATATATATATATATATATATGTATATATGTGTGTGTATATATATATTTATAATTTAACACATATATATATATATATATATATATATATATATATATATATATATATATATATATATATATATATATATATATATATATATATATATATATTCATAACTTAACACATTATATGTACCTTATAGCAGGTTACGCATATAAAGCTTATGATTTTGTGTTTATATATGTAAATATGTATATATATATATATATATATATATATATATATATATATATATATATATATATATATATATATACATATATATATATATATATATATATATATATATGTGTGTGTGTGTGTGTGTGTGTGTGTGTGTGTGTGTGTGTGTGTGTGTGTGTGTGTGTACGTGTGTGTGTGTGTGTGTGTGTGTGTGTGTGTGTGTGTGTGTGTATGTGTGTGTGTGTGTGTGTGTGTGTGTGTGTGTGTGTGTGTGTGTGTGTGTGTGTGTGTGTGTGTGTGTGTGTGTGTGTGTGTGTGTGTGTGTGTGTGTGTGTGTGTGTGTGTGTGTGTGTGTGTGTGTATGTGTGTGTGTACATATATATCTTACAGCATCTGCTTACCACTGACTCCCTCCTCCCCCAG